TGGATACTGAAGTTATTATATCACGGCTTCCAACTGAAGAACAGGAGCACGCCAGACACATATGTCGGCACATAATTGAAAAAGACATAAATGCCAAGAAAACTAGGAAGCAGAAGAACGAAAACCAAACCATAAAAGGGCTCAAAGAAAAGCTAAGGGCAAACAATGTTATAACCACAAAAGCAGACAAAGGCAATACCACCGTATTAATTGATAAAAAAGATTACATAGAGAAAACTGAAAAACTAATAACTGAAATAGGGTGCAATAAATTGAGAAAATATCCCACTGAAGAATACCAAGCAGCAATAAAGAATACCATAAAGAAAAGCACAACCATAATAAAGGATAATCTACCATATAGACTAACACTTATGAACCCGAGTGTCCCTCCGTTGATTGCCTTGCCAAAGACACACAAACCAGGCACCCCGATGAGACCTATCATTAATTACAAGTCTGCTCCCGGATACAAACCTCCAAGCACCTAAAGNAAGAATACCAAGCAGCAATAAAGAATACCATAAAGAAAAGCACAACCATAATAAAGGATAATCTACCATATAGACTAACACTTATGAACCCGAGTGTCCCTCCGTTGATTGCCTTGCCAAAGACACACAAACCAGGCACCCCGATGAGACCTATCATTAATTACAAGTCTGCTCCCGGATACATACTCTCCAAGCACCTAAAGACGCTGCTGAAGGATAGTCTGGATCTACGCAATAAATATACTGTTACAAATACAACGGAACTAATCGAGAAGATGAAATCGTTGAAGATCAACGAAAACACTAAATTCGTATCATTCGACATCAAGGACCTTTACCCATCGATACCAACAATAGAAACCATAAAGACCGTACAAGAAAATAATGATGTGAAAAATGAAAGAGAAGCTGTCACGGAAATAATAAACGCGTTGAAGGTCACATTAAAACAAAACTACTTCCGGTTCAACAATAAGATATATAAACAGATTAACGGGTTAGGAATGGGCAATCCGACGTCAGCAATACTCATGGAAGTATTCATGCAAACACTGGAGGAGAAATACATGAAAAACCTATCGACCAACCTAGGAGTAAAATTCTACGCGAGATATGTCGATGATGTAATATGTCTAATAGAGGGAAACAAAGAGAAACAGATACTAGACTATCTCAACAAACAACACCAGAATATAAAATTCACCATGGAAACGGAAGAGGAAAGAAAGATTAACTATCTGGATTTAACAATT